GCGTTGTGTTTTTTTTGGCAACATGGAGTAGCGGCCGTTGAAGTTTTCCCCGGCGATGCCCGCGGAAAAGATGACGTTAACGATGAAAAAGGGTAATCAGACATCGACGGATGTCTGATTCCTTTACCGTGTATACGGATATTATGTACGTATTATTATTATTATTTTGTGTATCTGGCCGGTACAAGATGTTTGAATATGCATTACTATTATTATTATTATCACCGTCTGATCAGATTATTATTATTATTGTTATTATTGCCGTCTATTTTATTAAGACCGAGTTTTACGCCCGTCCGAGCTTTCTCGGCACCAAATTAATATAACCAGCCCAAATACCTTATTTTGTCTATTGAGTTTTTTATTTATTATTATGATCATTACTGTCACCCATAATATGTCCATCCTTTGAATATATAACATGGGATTAATATAAAGGAAAGAAAAACAAAAACAAGAAAAGAAATCCACGACGCTCCGGCCCTTCGGGTCTCGGCTCGTGGTTGGCGGCCTTGCCCAAAACCGGCGGGTACCCACATGACTCTCGAGCCATGAGCAATATGTCCCGAGATGTCACAAACATTTTAAAAATCATTGTGTGTATAAAATATAATAATATACTCTAAAAGTTTCAAGTACCCACGAATAAGATTTTCAACTTACATCAAAATATGGCGAACAATTTTTTATTGACATTGCGTCGGCTGTTTATAAAACAATTAATAATCAAACATTTCACATACCTATAAATAGTTCAACACTAGTCAAAGTCTTCGAACATTTTTTGTTGTATAGAAAACGAGGGTATACAAATTCAGTGAAAATTTCATGGATCTACGGTATTTCTTTTTAGAGTTACATCAAAAACTGAAATTTATTTTGTTAAAAACTGGTTTTCTGTAAAAATTCCCGTTTTTCCTTAATTTTGTGTTTGTTTTTCCTGCCGCTTTTGAAAACTATTGGGGATTTTTTACTAAGCACTAAAACTCACATGATCAGTAGATTTCAATACCGTAATTGAAGAGTTTAAAGTTTTAAGTCCTGTAGAAAGAAGATTACCATTATAATATTTTTATTTTTATTTTTTATGTTCTAACGTAGGTTACTATCCATTAGGTATATAGGTATATACTTTATTGTAAAAATATATCAACATTTTGTGAAGCACAACATTTAATCAATATACATTTTTATGAATTGATATTTTGCATTAAATTTATCCTTTTTTAGATTGAGGTTAGGTTAGATTTGCTTAGGCCCATATAAGGGAAAGCGGCCGAATTTTCTTCATGGCACACCCCATACAAAATTCCTGCGCACGCCTATGCTCACATCATTGCAAAATCAATACATTCATCGCTCCGATCAGAATCTAAAATTTAAAAAATCAGAATTTGAATAAATTAAAGAAAAATATGGAATTGACCAAATTTGGTGAATCCCCTTTAATCTTTATATCATATTAGATATGATTAGCCAAGATTTAGTCTGTTCGGGTAATATACCTAGAAAAAGACAATGAGTAATTAATTATTAATGTTTATCTGCACATATATATATAAATGTGTAGTAAATATAATAAAATATAAAACAATTTCGGTTAAAATAATTATTTATATTAACTACACGATAGTGAAGCATTTGATCTTAAAACCTTTTGCCTTCGGCGTTTTATATTTAAAATAAATATAGCGGTTTCGTTTTTTACCTTAACCGTTATTAACTTAATGCGATTAGCTTCAACGATGTATTGTTTAGTCGTCTATTATTGCATACGGCTGTTGTAGCTAATAGGTAATCACATTTAGTTCGTTAAAAATAGGGAAAGAATACTGCGGGCGTTTTACGGGCGTAGATCTGCGTATTTTAGCCGCTGTTCAGTAAGACGGAAAGACAAGAGTGTTCATTTTTGGCGGGTGCTCAGTAAATCGTATGATTGGATTGCGACGGAAAACAGTGGAGGCTGGAACATAACGTATTTGAACATTTATATTTTTTTATTTCCGCCGTGATTTAGCTCATACCTCGTCCGCATAATATTATGTGCAATTAACGTCATTAACGTCAATCCAAGCGTGTTTATTATACCCGCGGATTATTATTATTATTTTTCCGCGCTTTTCGTCGCTCCTTCATTTTCCACCGCGGTTCAGGGGGCACAATGTATTTTTTTCCAAGAATTTTAAAGACCTCCGCCGTTTATACTCGTGGATTTATACGTTGCTTAAGATTATAACATAAGTCATTCTCCTCTTCTGTTTCCATTTTTTTTGTTTTTTTTTTACCGATCAACGATGAGATATTATTGTGGTTTGTCACGATGATTTGAACTCGGTGCATTTGCAGAACTGCATTTGTGCATTTTACTTTTGTGAAAACGCGGTCACATTTACAAATCTAACTATATCTCTTTGTGTGGGGCCCAGTAGTGGTTCTCAATGTTTTTATATATACGAGCCACCCACACATTTTTAAAATATTTTGCATGTACTCCACTTGACCAAAAAATGTTATTTTTGCTTATCAAAAGTGTATTCTTTATTTTACATGTTTCGAATTTTGTTTTATTAGGAACTACACAATTATGATAATATAACCATTTAACGAATAAAAAGAAACTGAAATATTCACAATTATGATTTATTTTATATTATTATTAACATCAAATAAACCAAATAATATTTAATAGGAATAATGTATCATTCCATTCTTTGATGAAGGGGGATTTTTTTGCTTACCACCTATGAGCTTTCCACGCTCCACAGGTTGAGAAATGCTGAGGTAAGAAGTATAAGTAATAGCAAGGTGGCTTAATGGTTTGTTGATTAGGTGTGTAAATAGAACAACAATAAAATAGTAATAGTGTTATATTTTGTCACGTACTTACCTATATTTTAATTTGGTCTCACAAGTATATTTCACTGTGTTCTGCACACGTTTAGATTTATGCCATCATATTGTATGATAATAACGTATTATGAACTATTGAAAGTTTGAAAATATAATCTTGAAAATGCACCCAAAATGTTGCAAGGCCACAACTTTTAAACGGTACATAGGTACTTGTAATGTTGTGTATAAAATTAATTGCAATATGTTTTTTAATATTGACATTATGTTATGTATTGACACGATTGAAAGTGGCTGACTGGCCGAGAACGCGTTAATCGAGTCTTGATAAATTAATAACATAATTATACATGAATAGGCATTTAAAATAAATTGTGTTAGGGATGAATATCATCAAGTGCAACAGGCTTTTTAATTTGTTTAAAAGAATATACTTACAATCTGTATAATAGTAGCTACCTAACACAATAAGTAAAATGTGAGACAGTTTATTAGACTTGTTTATCTTGGGAGAAGGGAGTGTGTCCAGTTATTGGTAAAACAATCGTCAAAAAACTAAAAAAAAAAAACCGGAGCTTCAGAACATCATAATATAGAGAACGAAATGTAATTCAAAGGTTTATTGTAGCTTACTGAAGATACACCTGACCGGATGTGTATTGTTGTACTTAGTACATTTTTTTTAAGGAAGGGAAACTCCGAGTAAATAGCTGTTTTAAAATTGAGTTGAAAACTAGGGTTCGTTATTTTCTGGAAAACAATTGGGAGATTTGACGAATTCCTATCTTAAGTACTTCTCGTGTTGAATTTGGGGAGATATACCTACCGCGCGGAAGTGCTTTTTTAGTTGTTTTGCCCCAAACTGTAATTTCTGGGTAAAAACCGACAAACCGTACACACCGTACTCGATCCAATTTAAACTCCTTATACCGCTCTTACGGTATATTATGTATTACCCAGAACAGTACTATAGAGCCTTATATAGCTCCGTTCGGAATATTGTGTGCATTCACCGGCGAAACTCGTTATTAATTGTGTATTTTTTTTTTTTTTTTGTCTAGTCTGAGAAGAATTCAACACCGTTATCCAGACTCCGGACTTGTAGCAATCTTTATCTTAATTGCTATAGTGGTTTAAATCATTTCTCAGGGGTTTCGTTTAATTTAATAGTAAAGTGTTTTTTTTTTTTTAAATTATATTGTCTGATTAAATTGAGTATGAATATAAAACTGTTGGTTTTAAAATACATTGTTGATTCATTTTTCATTCAATATTAAAGATTGCAGATATTTTATTATGTTTTTCTAAATATTAAGCTGTTTGAAGGATTACTATTGAATAATAAAAATGTGCATGTTATTATTGTTGGAACATATTTAGGTATTAGATCGATAAAAAACGTTAACTGTTAATTGAAAAATGTTTTTAGTACTCATTCCTAATATTGTATTTGAAAACAAATATAGGTTCTTCACTTCGACCTGAATAAGAATGGATAATGTTTAACAAATAAATAAAAATTAAATAACAACATATCGGTATAATGTTATTACCATCAAATCAATGAATTTCATGTCTAAAAAAATACATAGGTATGACAAAAAAGGCAAAAACCCTCAAAGGGTCTTTCTAAAAATAAATATTCATTTCTAGGTCAAATTTAAAATTAGTATAAGTAATGAACGCACGTGTTATATTTTTGAGGCAATGTGATTGTGCCATTTTCGGGAAACCGTGAGTTAAAGTAAACGATTTTTTTTTTAGAAACTAATATAATATTTTACAGTCACGCAATAATATAAGCACATGTATATTATGTGCCAAATATGCAATTCACTTGTTTAAATTATAAACACTTTAAGAATTATTTCAAGTTTTCAAATTTGTATTGATATAAAAATAATCAAGTATATATTGTTATTTTGTGATAGTTATTATGATGAGTATAATTTACAGAAGTTATATTGTTAATAACGAAAATATGAAATCATATTTTCTATGGTTACTTATGAAAAGTTGATAATAATTAAAATAATTCAATAATTACGCACTTACAAAGATAATATCAATTTTAATATACGTTTGTCGTCGTTGGTTATTACTTAGTAACATAAAATATTTATCATTTCCCTAACTTTTGAAACCAAAAATATCACTCTTTTTAAATCACTAAAAAAGTGGGTCATAGTTGTTATAAGCATTAAAAATAATTATTCTTAAAAAAATGTATTTTCTCGTCGGTAGTATACCTACAATTTATAATATCGTTAATATCAAGTATAGTATAATTTTGTGAATAAATAATAAGAAACAGTCTTATTTGTTTATTCCGATCATTATACACGAAATGGTAGTTTTTTTTTAAATCCAAACTACTAATAGCCACGGTGTAGTACGATTTCAAACATTTGAAAACAGTGCTGTCTGTCTGGATAACATTTATCTAACCTATATTATACTAATATATGCCTTGTATAGTAATAATATTATTGTTGTAGTACTGTGTGTTTAGTAAATTGCCAATACGATAATGTAACACAGCTGACAAGTGTTCCGTGTGTGACGGACAGCAATGTTGGAATCATTATTTTGAAACACGTATTGGTACCTACGCGTTGTATAAATGATCATAATACTGTATTATTAAACAACAAAACAATACCTAATACGAATTTATTTTGTTCACAGGTTGCAGTGCAGTTTGACGAGTATGAATTAGGATTACAAATTTAAAACTCAAACATTTCGATGATATATTTTACGGGGTGTAAGCTATGCGAGAAGGCGTAGAGTGTATAGGTGAACGGTCTTGTTAAACAACCACTAACAAACGATGATGGTTTTCATAACAAGGCGAGCATGAGTCATAAAAAAAAAAATATATATCCGACACAAAAGTATTTGACTCACAGACTGCAAACACGATAATATAATAACAACAAAATACGAGAGGGGCATAATGATATTTTTGGGTATTATTTAATATAGCCAGATGTGCATCGTGACGGATATACCTCATTTGTCGTCCACTAGCCCCATAGTATGTGAAATACTTCAGTTTTCATTTCAGACATCATCGTTAACTTACAGACACTGGCATATTTCCTCGTGATGATATTGAAGTCATGAGACTTTGTTACTTCGGAGGTACAACGTTATTGTTTTCAGACATATTATTTTGTATAACATAAAATACGATTTATGCGAAACCATTTCTGTGTATTTTATATTCTTACACAAACCAACAACTATTTACAAGCGTATAGCAAAAAGAGAAAATACCGATATCAAGTTATTATAATCAAAATTTCACGATGACATTCACCTATTTAATATTCCGCGTAAAATATAAAGCATTTACTTACATTAAATTCCAAAAACATTTTACTGACAATTTTATAAATTGTTATTTAAATTTTAATAAGGGCTAAAGTATAGGTAACCGCTACGCTGTGCCGGGACAGTTGTAGGAGTCGAGTGTACATCGTCATTGAATAAAAAACAAAAATGGATTTGTTAAATTCGATGATATACCATTGCATTCGATAAACGATTCTGAGAGGAAACGGTCTGTCAGCTTGCTGTCATATTTAAGTATCATAATTATCGTGGTAATTTATTTTACTATTTATAGTAACACAGTATTAAATATAATTATTCAATATCTTATGCTATTAGTAATATGTAATTAAAATGTCTTGAAAGTATCAGTGAGTATATAAAATATTGTATATAAACTTAAAAGTTTCAGATCCACCCGAAAAATATTGTTGAACTACAACAAAATAACAAAATTTGTTATTCTTTGTCAAAAACACACCAAATATTCTCAATATTCAAACTATAAAAAAAACATTTCATTTATTTTGAGAATGTTTGGTTCCAATATGAACTAATTTTTATGAGGAACCTATTGTATTCAATTGTCGAGTCTTAGCTATACAAATTGTACACTATAAATTTACTAACTTCGTGATTTTGACTAGTTTCGTTAACATTTTAACTTAGGAACCAATAACGAAATTCCTATACTGTGTCACTATAGGCAACCAGGTAGACAGGATTCACTATGTATTTTTTGTAAACAAAAGTTGTTCTCTGTCCAAACGTTCAAAAAAAATATTGAGATCATATTATATTTTCATTATTTTTTTTTCATTATATTTCAACTCATGATATTTTGTATTAATTTTTTAAACTCTTAACTAAGTGAATACATTTTTATTGACATAATATATAAAAAATAAAACTAAGAAATATCGAAAATATCAGATATTTATGAATATCTAGCTCAAAAAGTGTCAAGTGTAATTTAAAATTTTTATAATAAACCTGTAAAAAAAAAAAATGAAAATGAACATATATTATGGTAAAAAGATAATTGTTTCAAGTATTTGAGATTACTTAATCCATTTTTTTAAATTTTCAATTTTGACCTTCTGAAGTTATCAACTAGATACAATTTTCTAAGAGAAACCAACCATAATAATGAAATTGAAGTAAATTTTTACTTAAAGATCGACCAATCCCAGTGATATATTTTCGAGTGACTGCAGAGATAAATGGATGGCGCCTGCACGGACACGTCGAAATCACCATATCACTGCTTCTTGTTGATCGATACTCCAGACTTGGCTGTGGATCGCAAGATGATAGCTGTCCACGAGCCACCGAAAATTACAGTGATTTCAGTCGCCCTTCAGTAAACATAAACTAACTAATAATAACAACAATCTGTTTGTACTGCAATAGTACAGTAGTTTATTTTTTTTTTGGTTTATAGTGTGGCCAGTATAGTTAGATAGTTATTAAGATTAGTTCTTAAAATGATACCAAACTGTTATCAGAATTATATAACATTGTGACATGATTTAGATTTAACTGTTTTAAATCTCCAAACTTTTTTTAACAAAATTATAATGATTATTTTTTGATTTAGAAGCATATATTTGAGATATTCAATACAATATATTTGGTACAAGTATGCGCCTCTGTCAAGTGGTCGGATCCCTACAGAAAAGTTAGAAATATCATTCGATACCGAGTGTGCAAATACAAAAACGTCGAGTATAGTACCTACCCGAAAGAGCTATTTAAGATTTCCTTGGTATACTTTCGTCAACACTGGACCACCATGTGTAGCAAAGTATCCCATATGGACCACATTGAGTTGTGAGTTCGGATTTTTCTAGTCTCTTAAAATTTCAGAAGGCAATTAAATATCTCAGGACTTAGCGCTTTCAAAAATTACAGTTACCACAAGTATTTTTTCACTCAATAGAAATTCTACATAAATATATATATATAAATAAATATACATAAATATATTATATTATAACCTTAATGCCATTACTCACTGAATATGTTAGGTATATAATTATCTATACATTTTTAATTTATTGACCTTCGATTTATATTTATCTTAAACGCATATTTTCTTATAATTCCATCGTTGTTATTTTTCAAACTCTAATTACTTATTCATTATACTTAAGCATTGTTTTATTACTTTCGAGTAGACAGACAAAAAAAAAACACATTATTGTAAAATCAATACATTCATCGTTCCACTTAAAATCTAAAATAAAAGCTTTCGTTCCCTATTTCGTTAAATTATAGTTATTATATGCAATATATATATTGTTTTAATTTTACTTATATTTAGAGTACAGCAGAGCTATTGTAATGGAGTACATCATCATAATTTTGTGGATTGTAAGTTCTTTTAATGGACGATATTTTATAAGCTGATAACGAAAATTATAGGACACTGATGTAGCTAAAATGCCTATCAAAAACGCCGTATAACGATATTTGTATAACTGAAATTTGCAATGATTTTTTTTTGATTTTTTAAAGAAATATGTTTACAATCTGTACAGTTTTCCACTGAATAATAAAGGCTAAATTTAACCAAAAGTTATACACTATTAAATGAAACCTCTTATTATGGTCGGCGGTCAAACTATTTCAAAATAATTTAATAACTTACTTTCTTAATAATTTAATATTTAAATTTGAAACTAATTCATGTTATTTAAGTACATGAACTTGTAAACAGTTTTAGTTATGAATTATGATTATTATAATACCTATATTGGGTCCTTATATTTAAACTATAGAGTTGAAGAGTTGAATAAAAATAAAAATAATATATTTAGAATAATGTGTTATTTATTTTAATGAACTTGTTCATGTATGGATATGAAAGTTCTTTCAAAAATTTGTTCTTATCGCATAAAATAGAAATAAGTTCACATAGGGTATATGTACACTGTGTACGTGTATACACTTTAACTAGGCGCCTAACTCATATATTTTCCCTTTTAATAGCATTAAGTTTCTATTAAATTCTTGTCAATAACTTTAATGTAGTTTTAGATTCAACGAAACGTGATGTAGAAATTTTAAATATTTAAGTTGATAAGTTTCCTGCAACCATGATCAAAGTTAAAATGTTAAAATATCGTAACAGTTCATTGATCAAAGTAAGTTTATACGTCACAGTACATAAAATACAATTTTAAATTTTAAAAAAGGTCTACACTGTTGGTAATAAAGAATACTGGCTATTTAAAATAAAATACATATACTATAATTTATATTTGCTTATATTTATGGTAATACTATTGGGTATTTTTCACAAAAAAGATATAATTACTACATAATATATCCACGTTGTAGGTACTGTATTAACAAGTAACAACTGAGGCAGCAAAAGAAAAACAATTCAGCATATTATTCGGGTTGATATCATGTTATTTTAACTATAATTTTATAAAGAATTTATGATTTCAAAATTTTAAATGTAATACCTAATACTTCATTAGATTAAAAATACAAATACATGTCATTATTTTCATTTATTTGATTAAAAAAATGCAGTAAATATATCTGTTGACTATTACAAATTATAGTGTATGGGCAATGGGTATCCGACATAATAATATTTGACGAGTGTCGAGTGGCATAATATTATGTGACCAACGACACTAATCATCTCACTCAATAGACTTATATTATAGTATATATTATTAAATAATGACCACGTATGGAACAAGCCACGAAATGTATTTGTTTTTTATACTTTTTATGAATAACCCCGCTTATTAATATATATTTAATAATAAATTTAATTAGCGGTTTTGGTTCATGTAGGTTTTTAAAAATTGTATTTTAATGTTTGCTCATCGACTGAGGTCGAGTATAGACTCTAAGTCCGATCACATTGCTTAAGATATCTAATGACTAACAATATTTTATATTTTATGTTAGTTTCTGTGTGTTTGATAGTCCGCCGGCCGTACAAATTATAATATATAAAAACTTGAGCTACCTGGGGCTAGGATTACTAATATTCCGATCAAGACGGGAAAAATGATGAAGGTTGAATCTGAACGAGTGTACCCAGCACTAAAAGCGGACGCGTCGCAAATAATTTCCGAGTCTTAGAAATTTGATTATTTAGAAATAGAACTTTGTACTCTAACACATTTCCTATAGTCAAATACCAATAAACGTGACCACTGACCCGATCGTTCCACCAGTCTTCTGCACTTATCGCCTAATAACAATTGCAGTATTTTCTCCCACGTTCGACATTTTGAGCTGCACTGTCTCAAAATTATTTCAATAAAGCCATTTAGAATTACGCAGAGATCACCCCAAGGCTTCTACTGGACTCACCAAAAATGTACTGTGTTCGTGAACATTGAAATAGTTATTTCTTATTACCTATAGGTATGTCGTATATGTATAATATGATTATTAAATAATAAATACCTATTGTATTAAATTTTTTGATAAGAACTCAGGTATTTTTAAGCCATATATAGTTACATGATATTTGGACACGTTTTTCACAATCCTCTATTACTCGATTAATATCGTTATTTGTTATTACACAATATAAAACATTAAAAATGCCCAGTGCTTCGCAAACTGTTGAACGTGAAACCGTGGCCGATAAGAATGTAATTATTATTGGATGAAAATATTACTTTACCATAATATTATGTGGGCAAACAGAAGAAAGTAATTTCCGGCCGAAATTAATACCACCTGAACAACCGACTGGGGGCTGACGGTCACAGAACTGAACAGTAGTGGTTAGGAACATAGCAGAAATCCAGTCTATGAGTGGAAAAATAAAGCTTTCAAACGAATTAAGAAAAGTCTCCCCCCAAAAAAAATTGAATACATTTATATC